GATTTGCCTCAAACGTGGCATATTTTTGTGCTCTTGTTACTACTTTTTTTCTCACGTGTCGTATATAATGTTTTATACCGTCAGTGTGCATGTGCATTTCGTGTTTCATAAGAAAAAGTCGTTTGGATATTTTTAGACGTTTTGGCGATTCATTAACTTGTTTCGCCGCTTGTTCCCGGAAAGGATGGGTCTGTACGTGTTCCCGGAAAGGATGGGTCTGTACATGTGTTCCCAGAAAGGATGGGTCTGTACGTGTGTTCCCGGAAAGGATGGGTCTGTACGTGTGTTCCCAGAAAGGATGGGTCTGTACGTGTGTTCCCAGAAAGGATGGGTCTGTACGTGTGTTCCCAGAAAGGATGGGTTTGTACGTGTGTTCCCAGAAAGGATGGGATGTGTTATGAGAATGTGTTGGGTTTTTTTGCAATTTGTAATTTATAATATCACATTGATTAAGTGATAGTTATTTTGGGTCACAATGTTCAAAGTTTTGAGTGTGGCTCGCATTTCGAATCATATATGTTCAATGGCAATAGCACATTTTTGATAGCGCTTCAGAGTTGCCTCCCTTGGCTGGCTTTATTTTGTTTTGACTTCCGGGTCTTGTCACGTCGCATGTTTTCCACGTGGTTCCATGGCGTTCTGAGAGAATAATGATGGTGCCTAACTTTGCTGGAATGCTCGAGTGTGTAAGAGCTATATAAAGGCTGGTTGTTGAGCTTTGCTAGAATGCTCGAGTGTGTAAGAGCTATATAAAGGCTGGTTGTTGAGTTGTACGACAGGACTTTCCACATGACTGGATTTATACACATCTGTCTGCCATCGTCGAGTTACTCAACATTTCAAGACTGACCGTGCTTGCCTGCTGTCAGTGTAAACAACCTTCAGTCAGTATATCTGTTCTCACTGTAAATGTCAAGACTCTGGTGAGTTGACATCTTATATTTGTGACCCAGTACTTTAGATGTGTGACTCGATTGCATTGTGCTAGAAATCTGCATTGTCATTCATTGTAACTTGCTCATTGTTTGTTCAATATATTATTGAATATTTTAGACTTGTCTGTGTTCTATTTTGCTGTTTCAAAGGGGACTTTTAAACCTTTTGAGTGAGTGAGTGAGTGAGTTAAAATTTTACATCGCATCGGCAATATTACAGCCATATACCGATGAAAACAAAGTAATCAATTTAAATAGCTGTCGGCAAAGGACAGTAAAACAACTAAAATATCACAGATATAAACGTAAAAATAGTAATTAAATCTAAAACATTTTAACTATAGAAGACAACACAATATAAAAATAGGCAAAAGATCACCAACAACTGAAGGTAGATCATCATACCAGGGATAATGGGGACTTACAGTACCTTTGCTACCTGCATGGACCCTAGTTGGATTTATACCATCCCTTCAGCTGCCGGCGATTGTAAGAAATGTTAGCCAAAATTAAAATAACAAGAATACTACGTTTAAAAATCCTGGTAAGTTAAACTGGACTTTGAAAATTTTGGGACTTACGTACCCTCTCAGGAGGACAATAATTTTACAATACTTTAACCCCCCTTGAGGGTACAGCCACTAACAATCTGAGTTATTAATTTAAACTTCGAATCATAAAATATTTATCTATTTACAAATCAGTTCACAAATCTAATTCTTTTAAAAATGCAATAATTACATGAGAACTTATATTATTAAAAATATCCTTTATAGTTCGTGATTTGAAGTAGTTTAAAACTTTTGTCACGGCAAATTATTAACCGTAACATTATGCCCATGTTATTTCGACCCATGTAATTTCGATTTCATACTTTCCAGTCGAAATAACATGTTTCTTTGTTCATGGGCTAAAATTTGAAATCACTTTTAGAGTGTTCCAACGCGTGTTTTTGATGGAATCACTTCGTCTATATTATGCCGTTAGTGCTGTAAGAGGGTTTCATATATATAAAACGCATTGGTGTCCTAATACAGGTGACATTTTAGACAAATTCAAATGCGTTTGATCGATGCACAGTGGCTGTTGAGAGGAAGAACGTTATTGTCGGACATATTCCAGTTGATCAAAGCAAATTGTGTAACCTCTTCATTCGCCCTGTACAATACAGGTATAATTATTAACAAATAAACCCTAAAGATCTAATCAGCCGCATGATTGAAAGATGAGGACCAGATTATGAAAGGTCAGTGACAAGTCGTTTAATGTGTTTCATGTCCATGAACATTTAACGCAACAGTTTGAATTTTATGAGTTCTCTCAAATTATAATAGTTATGTTGTAAAAATGATTGAATTTGTTCATGGAATAAGATTCGTTCCATTTAGAGTTAAAAAGAAGTTTTGTTGTATTTTACTCCTCTCGATTTTAAGCCTAGGACTTAATTTCAGAAAAAAATGTTTCTTAGATGAAATGGGTCAAATTCGAAATTAACCCCAAGGCTTAAAAACGAGGATTTCCGGTAAGAACAAAATCGATTGTATTTTTTTGACTATTACATATATTTACGAACCACGTTTATAAAAAAATGAAAGTATCTCTGCTATATTTAAAATTACTTATGTTTAAAAAACTACATTATTTCTGAAAAATAAACATCCATTCATTATGAGCAGGTACATCTGGTGACTGCCATCCTTCAAATAATGGCAAACTGGAACCTTGGTTCTTAAATAGAGCGCCCCATTCCATATAACGTTGAGTTCTGTATCTTCTCTACGTAACTTAACTACCTGCTCCATGCCCAGATCTGACTCATCAACAACTAAATTGTTAGAATTCTTAGTACTCCTCCTCGCAAATTTACATAGATCATAAAAATGATCTATGCAAGTGTCAACCAAACGATAACTGGAATCAATAGCATAAGTAATAACACAGGAAGGGAAAGTATCAGGAAGGTTTTTTAAGATTTTCAGTACTAAGCTCTTGACAAACAACCGCATCTGATAAATATGTTTTCCCTGCCAAATCATTCCCAATTAGCAAGTCCACACCTGGGATAGTGAGATTTTCTACAACGACCACCTCAACTAAACAAAGCGTAGATAGACTCTACAGACTCAGCAGCATTGAACAACAAACAAACAAAATCTAACCAATTAGTGCATGCTAAGATGATCAATTTACTCCGAGTTCAATACACTCGTTGTTCATTTGAATGTGACACTGAATAAGAGCAACAAAGCCACATTCATTACAAATCTCTGCTAAACGCAAAGTCGATTTTATTAAAAAATAGCACAGTTAGTTACATGTACCACAAACAGGTTAAACAACCACAGTACAAATGTAGCACTAACATTCAGTATGTATATGAACATTATGTGGGCCTGCCCCGATTTCTCGAAACAAACTTAAGTTTTTTATTCAAATTTCAAACTGAATTTGACAATTTGAAACAGCGGAGTTTTAACCCGGCTGCATTTTTTAAATAAAAAAGGCCAAACAATTTAATTATTCTATTGCTATGTTTGAGTTTAATATCCATTTCAGTTTGTTTTGGGAATTGCATTTTCTCAAATTTGAGTAAAAACTCTAACTTAAGTCAAAACTCAGACTTAAGTTTGTTTCGAGAAATCGGGGTCGGAGGCAAAAATTACAATAAACTTCTTCTTCTTCTTCTTTACCCTGTCTGGCATACATACAGAGTACTAACGTGCAAGAGTTCAGGTTTATTACATTTTCTGCCAAAATATGATTTTATTTGTAATATAGCTGAAGTGAGTGAGTGAGTGAGTTATCATTTAACATCACATCGGCAATATTTCAGCCATATCGATATAGCTGAAAACAATATACTCGAGCGTAAAGGCAAACAAAGCTTTTATTCTTCTTTCAAGGTATAATGTGGTTTTGTAATTCGTCTGAGGACTGACATGCTAATCTTTTTAAAAAGTTTACACATATTTTTTCGTGTTCACATGCAGTACGTTAAATACAGATAAATGAGATGTGACGTCAGTAGACACTAAGTGTCACAATCACGTCTTGGCATCATTATTTGTTATTCAATGTATTTAGTTCTTGGACATATATTTTGTTGCAACTGTTACGCAATCGTAGATGAATTGCACTTGTCAATGACTTCACTACCATGTTCTAATTTCACAACACAAGCCTTGCTTGTCTTTGATAAGAATAATCTCATTTCAGCATGAACCTTCTAGAAATATACATATTTCCTGTAACATATATATGCACTCAATGTTGAACCCAAATTTGATCAGTTCAACTGACAGTTTCTGGAACTCAACACAATGTATATTATACATACAATACATGCAAGAGTGTACGTGTCATTCAAATGGAGAGAGATCATTTAGACAACCCATTATCTGTCTGTCAGTCTGTATCTCTGAACACGCTTCTCCTATTATTGATGTGTGGTTCCCAGTCAGAAAATCGTTCTTCAATACCACAATCATTGAAAGTCAAATGTCGAAAACCAAGAAATTACAGAAACAGAATGACAGTTTCCGTTGATTACTGATAATCACGAAGATGTGCTCATTTGACAGTTCACGAAGAAAAATAAACTAGTGAGGAAGCTGGATTGAATTCAGCAAATAGAGGCGACAAAACCGTTTCCCCATCCGTAAAAAATATGTGCTAAAAGCAAAGTCGACTGTGCAAATGTGATTATATCATGAGCATGCATTGTTTCAGGAGTATTACAGCTATACGATGTTGTTTGTAAACACATTAAGTGTGGATCAGACAATCCAGTGATTGTCACTATGCGATATGATGACAGAGCATGTGTGTGTGAATCGCTTTGTAATAGTGATAATATCAGGTGTTCGCGAAAAGGTGAGCCGTGTCCTGCCTGTGGCACCCGTCATAAACATATGCTGTGAGGAAACCAAAAGTGATGCAGTTCTCAGACGATTATGTGTTAGGTTACTGGCACAAAAGAAAGGGGGTCAAATCATAACAGTTATCAAATGAATCATGAGACAATATTGTACAATAGTTTTCTCCCCTGTGTTTTTATCATAACAGGACTGCAGGTGCCTCTTCCTCTTACTCAGCATCTTGGAGATACTTTCAGCTTGATGTCCTTCTCTGTTTGAAGAATGTTGGAATCAGTAAACGTCAATACTTCCTGTAAACAAAATAAGTATGTATATACCTGTTGATCTTTACATTTAGTCACGTAATTATGAAGGCAGTGTATTATGCTGAACGTCATTGTCAAAATCAATTATTGACTACTTAATGTTATGACTGTGCCACAGAGGCGTATCAGAACATGCTATTAATAGGACAACATGGCGCTGGGGTAGGTAAGTCCATCTTGATAATCAGTCTAGGTACGCCAATTGTAATGAATAAATTAGGTATGTACACTATGATGAACGGGCTAAGTACATACATCGTGATGAACAGACTACGCACGTAAATCGTGATGAACAGATTAGATACGTACGTGATTAACAGACAAGGTACATGCATCATGATAGACACACCAGATACATACATCGTGATGAACAGACTAAGTACGAACTTCATGATGAACAGACAAGGCACGTGAGTTGTTGGATTTACAATTCTGACAGAATACAAAATATACTGAGTCACACTAGATACTTCACAATCATATATTGAATAATAAGAAAGGACATAAGAATATGGTATAGAGATTATCAATTATTTGTTAGGGTTAATAGGATGAACTGATAATAATCACAATGCCAAAAATCGGTTATAAAATTTATCAATAATTGGCGTAAACAAAGTGTCAAGTCCCAAAAAATCAAATATGAAGTTTCAAACGTTCAGTGGCGTGAATGGCCAGCCCGTGCGTTCACAACTGCCAAGCAACACCTCCTCAAGGACGGTCTGATGCGTGTACACACATTACTGGGAAGTCGGTGCCATTGTCCTTGCGAAGCAGCACCAAGATCCAGCAAATTCTGGGGTTGGTTCCTGAGAGTGTGCAGACCTGTACAAGAGCATTCCACAAATGTTCGATTGGATGGAGATTAACGGCCAGTCAAGGACGTTGGTTCCTGCGTTCTGCGGGTAATTCCTGGTCAAGATGGTTGTAATAAATTGTCATGTGGAAAGGGCAGACCTGGACCATGTGCTGCTATGAATTGAATATTTTCGGGGTTATACCTGGTCGCATTAACCTGCAGCATTAAGTTTCCCACGAATAACCAGAAGTTAGGAACGGGCAATCCCACAGAAAGCACCCCAAAAAGATGACACTTCCACCCCGAGATCTGTCAACTTCCTGCACACAACACTGAGCATAACGTTCACGATGCTGCCTCCACACTCTCATCCAACCATCAGCGGATCTGAGGGTAAATTTTGATTCATCACTGAAGACAACTCGATTCAAGTCTCTCCATCGGAGGTGTCGTCGGACCCACAGCATACGCAGGTTCAGCGATATGGCCGCCAAACACGAAGGTGAGCGACTCGCAGCCAGTTTGGGATGGTTTGTGCTGACAATTGACCCCCTAAACAGCTCATTTTTATTTCCTGTAGCCGTCTAAACACGGTTGTGTTGTGGTATTGGTCCATTATGGGGTCCAGTGGCACGCAAGCGATTTCTGTGAGTTTGTGCAGTTATCCTTCCACCAAACATCTCCCTACTTGTGGCAGTTGCAGATCTTTTTCCGACTGACTGACTGACTGAGTTTGGTTTTACGCCACTTTTTTAGCAATATTCCAGCAACATCACGGCGGGGGACGCCAGAATGGGCTTCACACATTGTGCCCATGTGGGGATTCGAACCCGGGTCTTCGGCGTGACGAGCCAACGCTTTAACCATTAGGCTACCCCACCGCCCCTCTTTTCCGAAGATGACGTAATCGTATTGCTTGATCTTCCCGGAGTGACTCACACGTGACGCTCCTGGCCTCGGGCTGTCGGCAACAGTTCTGGTTTGATGCACTCTCACATTAAAAGTTTTTAAAAAAATGTTTGTCGTGAGCAATTAAATGCCCTTGCAACAGCGATCACAGACTGACTAGCATCAAGCCTCCCCATAGCACGTTGGCGTTCTTGAAAGACGTGGCATTTCCAAAGAAAGATTAAAATGAAAAGTTGCTTTTCACACATGCATTCGTGTTTTTCCTCTTCATTGGTTACAACATCAAGGTCACGAAATTAAAGCATTCACACTGCTTACTACTGTTTAGTATACTTGCATATTTATTTGATTAAACAGAACAAGAAAAATGTCGAAATTTATCAGTCACACGTTTTTTGCTGGGTCAATTACAAGAATATTACTGTAAGCGTTATTATTCTCAATTAAGTGTTATTATTTAGTCTGTTCCTAATTGGTTTAGCTGTAAGACTAAAGGGAAGAAATAGGATGTCGTGATAAATTTCTGCATATTGGCGTGTGTAGACACGAGGCATTCCAAAGACTGTGCATCGCTTGAGCAGGTAAAAGCTAATGTACGCGTGTCATTCTGCCACAACATTTGTAAGTAATTATTCCAAATTTTTCAGTAATAATACTTATGGTAAACTAAGTAAATTTACTTTTGTTTGCTAGGTATGATTCTAACCTGTTTTTGTTTCATTTGAATTTCAGCTTGAACCTGTAGAACCTGTAGAACCTGTAAAACCTGTAAAGCTTACAGCACTACTGTCAAAGTGCAAACTGTTATTATACTATGACAAAAGGAAACTCAACAACAAAAAACATACGCAGAGCCTCAAGAAAATAGCAGAATTGTGAAATTAGAAGAACCTAAATTTTCACAAATTGATGGAGAGACTTTGAAATTGTTGAAATTGTTAGAAAATGGCCTCATTAACAGATGACTCACATTCAAGCGCAGACATGATAGCAACTTACCAAAGAGAGAGAGATAGAATTAAAGCAGTTCTTACGAATAAGTTCAAGAAGATTAGAGACTTGATGGATTCTGAATATGTGGATGAGGTTGAATTTACACTTAGAGACATCAGCAAAATAATGAATGATCTCTGGATAAAGAACAATGAACTGATCCTTGCAATAGAAAACAACAAGAGTGAAGTTAGAGAAGCTTGACAATATGTTGATCAAGTTGTAACAAATTTTGATCTCATTAAAACAGAAGTAAGGGCTTGGTTAAACAATCAGATGACAGATTTGGATGTGCAAATAGAACAATTGTCCCAAAGTATGGCTTCTATGAGTCCTATAACAGAATACAAACCTGAAAGTGAAACTCCTGATGGTAGGGCTGAATCATGGAATAGAAACAGACGAGAAGGGGACATTCCTCATTCTTCAAATGAAATACAGCATGGGCAAGGTTTAAATAAGTCCAACATGTCAGATGATGTACCTTTGCACTCAAGTCATGATATTTTGCTAATGCAACAGAAGATGGTAGAGGCAGTGCAATTACCAAAGGCTGAATTGATACAGTTTGATCGTGATCCCTTACATTACTTCATTTTCATCATATCGTTTGAAACTCATGTATGTTCCACATCAGTTAGCAGTGGCGCGAAACTAAACCGACTGTTGAACAGCTGTACAGGCAAGGCATTGTCTGTGATTGAGTGCTGCGCTGTAATGGACCCCGATGATGGATATCTAGAAGCTCTTCATCTACTCAAGACAAGGTTTGGAAGCCAACACGTTATTGCGAATGCATGGGTTAAACAATAGTGAAGGACCATGGTTGAAGACGAACGACGTTGAAGGTTTGCGAAAATACGCTGATGATTTATGTAGCACTATGTTGACTCTCAAAGCGATTGGAAAAATGATTGAAATGGACTATCAAATGCGAATGGTCAAGTTAGTCGTAAGATTGCCCATAGCTCTGCAAGCAAGGTGGAGAGGAAAGGCTGTAGAACAACCTGACGTGACAAGAGAATATCCCCATATCGAACAGGTAGTTGACTTTATGAATCAAGCAGCCGACGAAGCCAGTGACCCTATATTTGGCTTAGAAGCAGCAAACGTGAGGAAAGAGGACAACTTCCAACACAAATCCTCCAGAAGGAGTGTGAACCACAACGTCCAGACATCAACAATCAGATTTCAACCATCGAAGTGTCATATGTGTCATGGAGACCATGCGCTGTTTATGTGTGAGAAGTTCCGAGACCTGAAACCAGAGACGAGACTTGAGTTTGTTAAAGAAAAACGATTGTGCTTTAATCGATTCTTGAGCAACCATACGTCAAGATTTTGTCGCAAGCCGAGCAAGTGTCAAGTTCAAGGATGCAAGAGGAAACTCTCCAGATTGATACACCTGCCAGAGAAACCAAACACAGGGAATCAACGAACTTTCATGAAGGAGAGAGACTGGAATGCATCTACCCCCAACAACTGACAAGTCACTAAAAGCTGAAAGTTATCCATATGATGTTCAGTCAAATAGGATACCCAAAGTAGAAGGAGGGTGTGGTGGGCGAGCTGGCTAAGGCGCCAGGCTAGTAATCCAGCGGGCATGAGGTTCCGGGATGGAGCCCACCTGTGACCGGGTGTAAAAACCTTGGAGTCAACTTTGTGTGCAGACTCTTTCAGTGTTGTCACAACCCCTAGTGAACAGTAAACAAGACTGTGCACTTAAAAGAACTCACGAATCCGTTGGTATATGACCAGATGGTGGCCACATGAATACGTGCAAACACCTAGTTGCGGGTACAGCAACGTGCAGAACTTGGACAAAGTACTGTGACTATGTGTCCCAGTCCCCCCCCAGCCATGAATGGGTACCTCGTTAGGATTGGAAAGCCGCAATAACTCGGTGTGCCTTGTTGCAGCAAGAGGTGTATGATCCCTAGGGAGTTGAGATTGATCATAAAATGTGCCGTTGAGATTGACATCCAATGATCGAGGGAAAAATACCACTACCTTGAGCATGCACTAGTGCGTGGATATGTGCGCTATATCAGTCAAGAAGAGTGACAGGAAAGTAAATAGATACGCTTTGTTGGACAGTGGAAGTACCAACACGTTTTGCTCAGATGAATTGCTGGATAAACTTGGAATTGAAGGTCATGAAAAATTCTTATCCCTTGACAACCCTGGAGAAAGTAAAGAGTAAGACAAGCACAAGAGTAAGTTCATTGACAATAACTGATGTAGGTAACAGATCACGGATACAGATACCTCTTGTATTTGGAACCTCAACGCGTTCAATGTGTTCTACTCAATCTGTAAACAAGCAGGATGTTGATGAATGGCAACATTTGAGGGGAATTAACATTCCACATGTAGACAGGGTAAATGCCGGACTTATCATAGGTCAAGATGTTCCTGTGGCACTGACTCCTGTCGATGTGAAGAGAGGCAAAGACCTTATGGTGTTAAGATTGCGCTAGGTTGGGTTCTTATCGGACTGCTGGGAAATGACCATGGTGAAGGACAAGGTAAAGTAAGATCACATTTTGTACATGTAGACAGAAGACTTGATGCTCAAGTTGAGAGATTTTGGAAAATGGAGATGAGTGAATCTTTTGTCTGAAACCAAACTGTTATGTCACAACATGACAAACGAACTATTAAGCTTTGGGATGAAACAACACAAATCGTTGATGGGCACTATGAAATGAAAATTCCTTTCAAGAACAGACCACCAAATTTGTGTGCAACTATAGTGTTGCTGAAAGTAGACTGATTCACCTGCCAAGCGTTTATCGAAGGATGAGAAGTTATTCAACAAGTATGGTGCTGGAATTAAAGAGCTCCTTGACAAAGGGTACACTGAAAAGGTGAAGGGAGAAAATATCAACAATGTTGATGGGACTTGATATATTCCACACCATGCAGTCTTCATTGAAAACAACCCTGACAAGTTGAGAATTGTACTTGATTGTGTAGCTAAATTCTGTAAAACAAGTCTGAATGATCAAGTTTACCAGGGACCAGATCTAACCCACAAGTTGATAGGAGTATTGTTTAGATTTTGAGAAGGAGTGATAGGAGTGATGGGAGATATAGAGAATATGTTCCACCAGATCAAGGTACCTGAGAGTGACAGAGACTATCTTAGATTTCTTTGGTTCCAAGAAGATAGAATCAAACAGCCAGAATTGTATCGCATAACGGTGCATTTATTCTGAGGAGACTGGAGTCCGAGTTGCGCAAGTTACACACTTAGGAGAACTGCAATCGATAACTAGACTAGGTATCATGAAGAAATTGTACAGACAGTTCTCAACTTTTATGTTGACGATTGCCTTAAATCACTGAACAAGGAAGATGAAACAATTGATCGAATCCAACAATTATGCAAGTTGGTAGCTCATGGTGGGTTCAAGTTGAATAAGTGGATTTGCAACAACAGAAATGTACTACAGTCCATACCAGAAGAAAATAGAGCCAAGTGTGTGAGGGGAGTAGACTTAGGTGGAGGAGTCCTGCCCAAGGAAAGAGCACTTGGAGTTCTCTGGGACACAGAGGATGATTCCGTTGGATTTAAGATTCAGGTCAAGAACAAGCCAAGCACAATATGGACTGGAGTTTCTTTGTCAACAAGCAAGTGACTGGCCGGTAAACAATATTTCCTCAAAACTTTCAGATGCGGACAAAGAAGTTACGAAAAATGTGAAAACCTTCACAACCATGGCCGAAGAAAATGAAGATCTTATAGACAAGCTATTCAACATACTCTTCATGGTACAAGGTGAAGCGGGTAGTTGCATGGATTCTGAGGTTGAAGAAAACCCTGTGTGACAAGACTCGAGTAAAATCTCAATCTACTCCACTGAAATTTGAGCATGCACTGAATGTAGATGCGCTAAAAACTGGAGAGAAAGCCATATTCCAAGTATTGCAGAAGAGAGCATATGAACAAGAGTACTAATCACTTGTAGATGGAATGCAGATTACAAAATCAAGCAAGATTTACAAACTTGAGCCTACGTTGGACGCTGACGGGGTGATGTGTGTCGGAGGAAGATTGCAAGCTTCACCAGTATCCGAAGAAAGCAGACACAACATGATACTGCCCAGGGAAACCGAAGTAACCAGACATTATCATGAAGTATGTGGGCACTCAGGGAAAGAATGAATCCTTTCCCTAATCCTGCATAAATTCTGGATTCCGAATTGATGGAAAAGAGTTAGCAAAATCCTCAACAGTTGCATACAGTGCAGGAAGCTACAAAAATCGCCAAATATTCAGCAGATGGCTGATCTACCTTCCGACAGAGTGAGCCCTGGATGTACGCCGTTCACTAGTGTGGGTCTAGACTGTTTTGGGCCGTTCTTGGATGCATCTTTACCTGTTTGATGGCCAGGGCCATACATCTGGAGAAACTGGACGGTCTTGATACTGATTCATTTCTCAATGGACTGATGAGATTTATATCACGTCGCGGTTGTCCAAAGAAGCTGCGCCGGGATAATGGAACTAATTTCAGAGGCACTGAAGTTGAACTGTCAAAAGGAATTAAAGACTGGAATATGAAGCACATTGAAGATTACATGAGCAGAAAGGAAATAGATTGGGCATTTAATCCACCAGCAGCATCCCACATGGGTGGAAGTTGGGAAAGGCTTATTTGAACAGTGAGAAAGGTGATGTATTCTTTATTGAAAAGTAGCCAATCTATAGATGACGACGGTCTTTCACCGCTTTTCTGCGAAATAGAATCTATCGTAAATAGAAGGCCAATTACTACTACTTTTCAGATGATCCGAGGGATGCCTACCCGTTGACGCCAAATCACCTGCTCTTACTACGAGCGGGCCCACATGTACCATTTGGAGGCTTTCAAATGGCAGATGCATACAGACATCGCTGGAAACATATCCAGTGTGGCGGATATGTTTTGGAGAAGATGGAACAGGGAATATATGCCGACTCTTCAACTACGACAGAAGTGGTTGAAAGCGCGGCGGAACATTACAGTTGGAGACATAGTCCTTATTGTGAATGAGAATTATTCGAGGAAGCAGTGGCCATTGGGAAGGGTCATTGAAACTCATCCAAGATGGACTTGTGAGGAGTGCAGATATTCGTACCGGGAGTACAACACTAACTAGACCAATAAACAGTGCAGTGACTGTACAGAACCAGAAAAAAAGAAGAAGAAGGGACTCTTATTTGATTTGTGATGAATTTCTATAGGGTTAAACGCTCGAGCAATAGGTTATTTTTCTGTGCGTTTAAGGGGCCGGTATGTAAGCGTTATTATTTTCTCTCTTCCTACATTTACTTTAGCGGTAGGACTAAAGGGAGGTAATAGAAAGTTGTGAGGAGTAGCCGCAAAGAGGCGTGTGATTCTGCCACAAAATTTGTAAGTAATTATCCCAAATTATTCAGTAACAATACTTATGGTAAACTCAGTAAATTTACTTTTGTTTGCTAGATATTATTCTAACCTGGGTCTTTTTTCATTTGAATTTCAGCTTGAACCTGTAAAACCTGTAAAGCTTACAAACTGTTATTATACTGTGACAAAAGGAAATTTCAACAAAAAACAACAACATGCGGAGTCTCAAGAAATAAGAAGAACCTACAATTACTAAGAGCGACGTAAACACACTCACCCACTTATGATACTTGTTTAAATCACAAAACTGACAAATTGTGTGCCTTCGTCAGATCGCTAAAAATCTCACCGTCTTGATAAAGATCCTGTGAGCTACTTCTTAATCTCAGAAGAGCAATTTGAAAAAGTTTTAGTGTAACTTTAAGTAAGGGCTCTCTATGAAAATTTTTTTAAAGAGGGAATAACCTGACCATTAAATATACAATGTTTCACGTCAAAAATCTTTTGCATGTAGATGTATTTGTGTACACCATCAAACAGTTGTAATCCCCAATGCTAAGAGAGAAAACGGATATTTTTGAAAGTATGAAACTCCAGAAAATAATCAGTCTCGATTATTCATAGAAACAGATTCCAAATGTCTGAGATTAGATGTGATAATTATATCTGGTTGCCATTTGAGTTTGGATTCCCATGCTGACAATGATGTAGGTTACATTCGTTGAGATGACAAAATATCTGATAATGATGATGATGATGATGATGATGATGATGATCATGAACACAGAAATGCTAATACCTGTGTATCCGGCATACGTTCAAACTGCACAGCTCTCAGAACATGAACCAGGGCTATTTTAGCCTCAACCAGCGCCAGACGCATCCCAATACAGTTTCTTGGACCGTATCCGAACGCCAAGAAGGACAATGGGTTGGATTTTTCATCATGTCTGAAAAATCACAGCAAATAAAATAGTGAATAATCTGTAGACTAAATTGATTAAATATTTTCAGACAATCGGTCTGAAAATGAAAATGCTTAATTTTAATATTTCTATGTTAACGACATCCCTTTTGCTGACACATTCAGATGAATGAAGTTTTTTAGTCAGTGTTTCAATCTCAGTCTGAATTGATATAAAGCAAAAAGCTATGTAAAGGGATCTGTTGAAGCACACTGAGCTAAGAAAGGGGGTCTTTTGAAGATCTGTCACAAACTGTGAACAGCGTCAGTGTGTGTGTACATGCGAATGTATGCCACATCCCACTGTTAGCGAGCACCTTCCTGGTCTGTGGAGACACTACAGCATTAGATACGTTTGACGTGTGACATTACCTTTCAGGTTTGAAGGAATCTGGATCTTTGAAGAGCTTAGGATCTCTGTGTAGCGCAAATGCAGGGACGAAGACAGTTTGACCCTCATAGATTGTCAGGTCCTTGATCTGAATATTCTCAGAAGCTCTGCGATGCAATCTGAAAAAAACGATCAATTCCGAATATTGTTTTAATGTACAGTTTTTCCATTGGGCGAATATCACCGTGACCTGATAGATTAGGACACTCCCTCCAAAACAGTACTCCATCTCGTGTCTACTGTACACCGAGAATAACGGGGGAAACACTTTGTTCTCATGTAGATGAATGCACGGTAAACAAAGGTAGATGTCGAGGCTTTGATTTCGATATGCATATGAACAGGTTGTGGAATTTGTTTGGTTGCTTTTTAGATATCTATATGAAAATCGAACATATTTTAAGACGCCTATATATCTACCTCAGTCAATTGTTTGTGTGTGGTGTTCATATCCAACACGAATGGCACATGCCACGACTGGGCTTAAGTCTTTATTTTTTTGGGCACTTACGCAACAACTGGCGAGTACAGTCGGAGCGTCTCAGTGATGACGTTGTCCAGATACTTCAGGTTCCCTATGTTGTCGTAGCTTGGTTCCTCCTAGGATAGAGGAAAAAAGACTATATCTGTCACTGACGGTTACCTTATGTGAGAGATACTTCGAGAATTTCAAGCAAAACATTTTTAACATTGTTTTTTCTGTATCTGAACAAGTACACCTACGAACGTGTTGTTCCCGCAATGTTTCATGAGATAAAACGAACATAAATTCAACTGTTACTTACGGGAGGTACGCGAACATGCTCTAATTATCGAAGTCCTGAGACGATCATAACTCTGACTATATCAGAAGTAATCGCTACTCTGATATCGTATTTACAATTGTCATTGCATGTGACAATGAGAATAATGTTTTCGAATGAATTCCTCGAGAGCGTGTTCTCGTTATATCAAAAGGTTCATACTGACATTTCCAAGCATTTCTTTGATTTCATTATACGCCTTCTCCTGAGCATCCGGGTTCATAGCGAGATTGTACGATGCAAAGGTCAGCGTGGAAGCCGTTGTTTCGTATCCAGCAATGAAGAACAATATCCCTTGGGCAACTATTTCATCCGTTGTTAAACCTGTAAAAGTAGTCTTACATTGGAATATGCACTCGGAGGTTTCCACGAGATAATTAACGCCTCGCTCAGCTACAGTACAGGTATATATCGTAGACCCAGCCAGTGAATATTCGAGCCTGGATCTCGGTGTGGATGCATTATGATGTGCAATATACAAATGAACCGTTCACCTCATGAGTTACATACTGTTGAAAGCCATGTTAACACTCAGCATACACAGAGCTGTTTCTGTACTCACGTCTAGCTGTATGTTTCTCTGAGGCCTGCCCATTGTATGTATGACCATTTTCATGTTTATCTTTATCGTCCGTTATCTCAGCGTCCACCAAGAGTTGCAGGAAGTCGATTCTTTGCTGTAAATACCATATGCTTTCTTGAGTTTCTTAAAAGTAATGTTAATAAATAAATCTAATATAGGTTGAATTAACGGATTATGATAAACATATTATGTGGTGACCATGAGCAGACTGTAGATTAGAGTCACTGGATAATAATAATCTTTTCAAACATTTTGTAGCTACATAGTTACATAATCTATTTCTAACACACATTTTAATTTAAGCTCTAACGATATCGATAGTCAACTGACCAAATGGACATATAAATGTTTCACTGTTTAGCCAAATACATGTATAACTTACACATGGCAAAAGAACTAACTTGCCATTATAAATAAATGTTTTATAAGAAAAGTTCTGGGTTCAAGAAATCATTTCCACTAACCTATTTGCACACCTATATATCAAGACACTTTAAGAGACATAGACCATAATAAAGAGGCAGCGTTCCACAGTTATATCTAACCTCTCGATTTTCCTTTGATTCGTTCTGTCGTTGTTTGATCATTTCCAAGATGTTGGCTTGAAAAAAGTGCATGACTCTACTTGGAAATATTCCAACTCCAATTTTCCGGATAACCCACACCAATGGTGGAAAGAAGCCTGCAAAGGACGAAAACGAATGATTTCTGTTTCAATTGTTGTGGGCTTGGAACAATATCAATACCGACGTGAAAGGTTAGTGTGGGAGGGACGGTTCATCACTGGAAGTCTGGATCATCGGATGTGAATCGGCTATCTGAAAATTGTTGAGCGCTGTTAGGGCACCGATAATCTTCAAGCTTAGGTATGGCCTTATCCTCGTGTGTTGATTGAACACACAGTAGTGATTCAGATCATCGGAATGTAGATAACGTCCTGTCCTGATTGTATTAAGGGTACAGGTTGATCTTTGAGACGGTGATTTGGTGTTACATTGGATGATCTCTGTAATGTCTCTCTCCTTGTATGGGCTTGCTGTTTTATGAAACTAAATTCAAAAGAGCCATGAAATGGTCTTCAGGCTTTTGAGGCAAGTCAAATTATATTTTAAACGTATTGTTACGTTAATTTCACACATTTCTTTTATAAGACGTCTGCTATGTAACACCCATCTATTTCCTCGTGTTAAAAATAGACATCGTTATAGGTGTATATCCACTACCCTTACGTTAATATAGATACTGTTATAAGGGCATACCCCATACCGTAGTGTTGAAAACTGATATCTGTCTAACTGCACACACCATACCCTCGAGTTAAACAAAAATATCGTTATAGATACATAGTTCATAGCCTCATGATAAAAACAATTATCATTATAGATACATAGCCTATAGCCGCATGATAAAACAAGTATTGTTATAGATACATAGCCTCATGATGAACATACATATCGTTGTTAGTGCACATCCCATACCCTCGCGTTGAAACAGATATCGTTATAGATATATAGCCCATAGCCATATGATAAAAACAAATATCGTTGTAAGTGCACATCCCATACCTTCCTGTTAAAAACAAACATATTTGCCCAGTGCCCAAAATTTAAACAGAAGAATTTATAGACAAGGCTGTTGGAGGAAGAGACATTTCTGTAAGATGTATGTTACGTACGTGCTACTATTGGTAGAAGTCTTCTTGGCTTGGATTGTGTAAACATCATCTTAGCATTCGCGACAAATTCATTGTTGAAATCGTTCTGAGAATCGACTTGTATACCAAAGGCAGTCCGTGCAATCACGTCCATGGTGTAAGCTCCAAAGTAGCTGAAAAACATTGCAACAGATTTATGTTTTGTGAACGAGAAAAATACGAGAAGGGACAGTAACATGTTACATCATAACGTGCCATGCTCTGTAACACGTGTTTATAGTTTAACAACAGGGATGAAATGACGTACATAGATTGAAGATAAAAATCGATTGGTTTAGTCGTTTCCATGGGTTTCGTGTTCGCGTTAAGGTAGAAACATGTACGCATGTCCAAGAAAATACAAATGCTTGCAATATTAAAAGCATCTGTGCTTAAAAATGTAAAACTCGAGGAAAACTACATCCATCTTCTCATTTGAACATGAAGTACAGTTTGATATGTCAACATCACACTTACTTTTTCATGATCGCCCCTTCCTTTTTTCCCAAAGGCTTTAGAGAAGTTAGTTGTGAGAGTTCTTGAACAATCGTTGATGGCAGCGCACATCTAGGAATCCAGTGTAATAACCCATATACTTACATATTGGTAGTAACATTGTACAACCGCAACATATAGAGAACGTATGAAATCAGACGGACATTGATATCTATACTGAGTTAAACTAGAAACTTCACAGTCACATATTACATAATATAGAAAAGAAAGGACACAAGAGTGTGGTATAGAGGTTATCATATATTTGTTAAGGTCAACAGGATGAACTGAGAATAATCACAATGCCAAAAATCGGTTGCATGTAGTTACAAAATGTATCTGATTAATTAAAAGGCGTAAACAAAGTGTCAAGTCACAAGACATTAAATACGATGTCTCAAACGTTCAGTAGCGTGTATGGCCACCCCATGCGTTCACAACTGCCAGACCCGTGAAGGTCCGGGTTAGAATGTTCCTTCAGTAACCCATGCTTGTCGTAAGGGGCGACTAACGGAATCGGGTGGTCAGGCTCGCTGACTTGGTTGACACATGTCATCGGTTCCCAAATGCGCAGATCGATGCTCATGCTGTTGATCACTGGATTGTCTGGCCCAGGCTCGATTATTTACAGACCGCCGCCATATAACTGGATTATTGCTGAGTGCGGCGTAAAACTAAACTCACTCACAACTGCCAAGCAACGCCTCCTCATGGACTATCTGATGTGTGTAAACACATTATTGGTGAGTCGGCGCCATTGTTCCTGCAAATCAGCACCATGATCCAGCAAATTCTGGGGTTGGTCCCTGAGAGTGAGCAGACCTCTACAAAGAGCATCCCACATGTGCTCGATTGGATTGAGATCAGGTCACTTTAACGGCCAGTCAAGAACATTGATTCCTGCGTTCTGCAGGTAATTCCTGGTCAAGTTGGATGTATGAGGTCTGACGTTGTCATGTAGAAAGGGCAGACCTGGCCCATGTGCTACTATGAATTGAATATGTTCGGGGCTAGCACCTGGTCGCGGTAACCTGCCGCATTGAGGTTCCCACGGATAACCAGAAGTCGGGAACGGGCAACTTCTTGTATACAACACTGTACATAACGTTCACGGCGTCGCCTCCACACTCTTATCCTACCGTCAGCGAATCTGAGGGTAAATCTTGATTCATCACTGAACACACAGTCCATCGGAGGTGTCGTCGGACCCAGAGCACTGACGTCGATGTAATGGCGTCGAAACAGTTCAGCGATATGGTCGTCTAATACGAAGGTGAGCAGCCCGAAGCCGGTTTCAAATGATATGTGCTGACAATTGAACCCTACACAGCTCATTTCTGTTTCCTGTAGCCGTCAAAAAGAAACGGTTACGGAGGTGACGGTGCACAATTGGAGGGTCCTCCGTCTGTGACGTCACACGTGGTTGACTACCCTAGGGCGATCAGCAGTGGTGTGGCAGTTTTAATTTTTGCAGCCGAGTCTGTAAATCATAAACAGTGCGACAGCTGCACCCCATTGTCCTTGCAATGTCACTTACTGACGTTGTCGTTTTCATCATAACAACGGCATGTTCCCACTGCACATTTGAAAGACGCGGCATAAGAATTGGCTGTTCAGAATAGTGCTTTAAAGTGTATTTTCATTTTGTACAGTTGATGGGAACATGTGCCATCAATTGCACGTGCAACGATAAGATCACGTGACAAGTGGCACGTGAAAACACGTTTTAGCACTATGGTGGGGTGCACGATGTTCGGATTGACTTTTTTCTTGAGTCGATGTTTGGGCATTAATATTTAAATACCCGAAAATTGTGTACTATAACAATTCAAATTTTTATTGTACAAGTATGAATTGTGAAGTTTTTATTTTGACAGTATAAAATATACCCGTGGACAAAAGGACAGGTGTGCGTCACAGCCGTGACGGTATTTGTTTGGTCGTCAATCCAGTACGACAACAAAGACAAAGAGTCAGATAAATCAAGCTCGTTTTCTAATCTCAACGTGTTATATTAACCCTACAATAAGGACTAAAGTGTCTCACCTTCCTCAGTTTGCCGCTGCTGAAGCTCGGTGTTATAATACCTCTCACTCTCCGCCAGTGCTCATCGTCTAAGAAAACCACACCCAAATTGAATGGGTGGGGCACGAATGGCAATTTCTGGAAACATATTGAACAGGAAGGTTTATATAAGGCATGCATGTAACTTTCAGTTATAATATTCTCACCATCATAGTCCATTTGAATATCTTTTATACAGTGACGTGCATTCAGAGACGGAAGTATTTGATATTTTGAGATACTTGTGCTTCACAATAATAACGTAATTGTCTTTGCAAAAATGGCATGGGTAAGAGTGTTTACCATACGGTTTCTGAAAGTGTTGAAGCTCTTGACAAACACCTCCTTCAGAATGTCCAGATCCGATATAACATAGGCTGGCGTTCTTCCCATAAAAATCCTTCAAGGCCAATCAGCAACACGGTATGAGAAAACAAAATATTACATTCACAATGAAATGAGGTACAGAGTGTTTTGCATTTTCTAAATATATTGGATAACTCTTTGCTATTCGAAAAATCACAACTTCAAAAGTATGTGGACTAGTTGTGACAGTAACATCTTGACTGAGGGAGAGAATGGTGTATTACGCAACAGTTATTTCATACCGCACCGCAACTAATTACGTGTGGACCAGGTGAATTAACGACCAGAAACGACACCTGATCATGATGGCACACAATCTGTAATGTCACAACGTCAGACCGTCAGATCCGTTTTAGTCGACTTGCAACAATCACAAGTTAGTCCATTAAGATTAATTCCGACCCAGAATCCCAACTGGTAGTGATAGTAGAAAGGAACAAGTAACTGATAACAGAAGACATAACACTTCAGATACATTATCTTTTAAATGTAACATTGCTACAGAAACTGGCCAAATCCTGGAAAGCATTACGGATTTAAAACGTCATTATACCTAATTTAAATAGCACAACACTATGTAAACACCAACATATAGCCACATGTTACCTGTGTATTACCTGATCTCAGAGAAACCTCAATGAGTGACTAAAGGTCCTATTCTGTTGGTGTGAATCCCAGATACATCCTGATTATAATTAGTGGTTTGTAAGCACTACACATGATGGTGAATGTTTTACCTATAGTTTACATGCCTGTGGTCGGCAATACGCTGGGGTGACCTCACACACTAAACCAACATGCTAGCATCTTTCTAAAACACTGCCAAAGGAACGCTAAAACAGTGTTTCAACGTCAAGGATGTGCTATACAGTTTTAAAAATCAACTTGGATAAAGGAAGGGTTTTCTGCATGACGAAACCAGTAGCTTCGAGCATTATTTATGATTGTCGTGCATACAATGTCAAGAACAGGATGCTAATTCTGCTGTCCAGATCATCCGGAAGACGTGTGCAAAGTCAAAACTATAAGTGTTTGAGATGAACCTACCCGTATACACATCCGTACTGTCGTTTCCATTCTTTGAGTTTGTGGAAGAAAAACTGTAAAAATAATGCAATGGAATGAAGTTCGTCTGGGTATAACATCAACAGTTTAGATGTTAATAAGAAGCGACACTGATATGCATATGTGTTTTGCATTTTGTAAAAAGGCTAGACATGACATTCATAAGAAATCAATCTAATGGCAAATAATGAACTGAACCTACAACTGAGGAACTGTTTCCCCAAAGAGGGTATGGTGTTGGTCCAGGGATGCCCTGTTTTTTGAAGTAATTGAAGTTCCAGGTTCCATGTCTGAAAAATATGCATCATTGTATTGCACGCGGCCCAACAAAATTTCTTTAGTGTTTGGAAACATTGGTCAAAATGTGCACTCGTGTCTACGATTCAAGGCACATACTCACTTCAGACAAACTTATAAATGACATGTATCTCCATAAATAAATCAAAGTGGATTCTAATTTCTTCTACGTGGGTGATCCTTGTATCAGTGGAGAGTAAACACTGCTCAACATTATATTTCTTGTGTTTCGTGGTCTGTTGGTAGTCTACATCCAGTGCCGTGACATAACTCAAGTACTATTCAAGGCAATAAATCCCAGCACAACACTTACGTAGACTCCAACATCAACGGGGCACTTGGCTTGTCATATTTGACGAGAATTTGAATCATGCATAAGCGACAGATGTTGTCAATGCCTTGCCAGAGCAGTGTGGTTACCATACATGCAACCTGTCACATTCGTCTTGAGATAAGTGGTCCACCTAAATTAATACATGTATTGTCTACTCACATATAGATTAGCACAGCCACCCCCAGGGTTAGAAGGACATACAACGGGACGTCCACGAGGCCCAGGATCTCCATGTTGAAGGGATGGGTCTTTTCTTATTTCGCCAAGCTGCCAACACACTACAGCTCAAATGTTAAGCTACCCGCATCTTATATGTGTGGGATGCCGCTGGCTGTGAATATACGTGTGCTTATAGCTCAGTCACGGGGGTCATACAAAGGTCGGAAACTAGTTCGTTTTGTGGGCCATTTTATGGGTCAAAGAGCTCACACTGCTAGACTTACGTGAGTCATGTCATCGAAAATAGATAAATCTTAAAAACATGACACGTATATTTTATGTCCACTGTGATGAATATCTAAATCATGTATAAACAATATCAAATGAATATCTCTTGAAATTTGTTCTTCGACATATGACTGCTGTGTAAATATAATTGTGTATACGGTCCAGTATCATTCATAACTTATATTCTAATACCAGCGTCATAATTAAACTGAACACATATGTCTGCGAAAACATTTTACGAACTGGTGGAATGATATTTTGTTTTGACGTACAAGTGAGCTACATTAGAATTTGTGGCAAAACAGATTGTATAACAGACTACAGCGGCACATCGTAGAATGGTGTAAATTAACCATTGAATATTTCCAAATATTTGTGTAGAATATAATATGTCAACAAAACGTTCCGTAACCGGATGTCCATGTTCAAGCATTTTGATAGCATTTATAAAAGATTCTTCATCATATGAGAAATACACATGATATAAAGCTTTATAGGGCTTTGTATTCAGTATGTTTACAACATATTGAGGACCTCAACACACCCAACAAACTATATCACATCCATTGTCCTTGATGGGATTTAGAAGCTATGGGATTTCAGTAAACTCGAAAACCACGCCCGGGTGTGCCACCTTGATCTCTGTAAGCATTTTAAGCGAGTGCACATCTACATGTCAGATTATGTTCTCTATTCATAGACGACACCACATAAAAGAGACGGTGTTACAGTAGTGTCTAACAGCAACAGGCTAGCCGACAATGGGTGCAGTCAACAAGAAAGCGGGCAATGTTGTCTTCATTATTCATGGACACAAAGGTGTACAGTTTACCCACGATTCAAGAGCAAATGCAAATTCATGAGGAGTATGATGCAATCTGTACTTGAACATACCACTGTGGCACATATCAGTTCTTGCATATATCGGTTATCCCGTGTCATTTCATGACGTCTCATGTGACCACTATTTATTACACTGGGTATTCTTATTAAACAATGAATGACAGAGTAGTTTGCAGGTTTACCGAAAGTATAGTATACAGAGATATAATGGTCTATAGTTATGACATGTAAGTTTAATTTTTTCTCATCCTGTGCAAAGTCGGCTTCTGAGAAAACATGTTCGCGATTATCGAAATTGGTTTCAAAGACTGTAATTCAAATGGATTCAATTCTAAAATGGTGTTGGATACTGCCAACTGTCAATGGTGCACTTCCCAACACGTCTTTATACATTGGGTTTATGTTATGAACCCTATAACATAATCTATTGACGGTACACTTAATCTATGAACAACTATCTTTGCACGTTTCCATAAATATACATGTACTCCTAAGCACATCATCTGCCACTCCTAGAATAAATACACTACACAACGCTTAAGAAGGAAAGAAAAGGTTGATTTTCTACATTCACTCATGAATCATTTAATGCAAAACCAATGTATTTGATTGGACGATGTTGGTCATATGATCTTTGACTTCTTTAGTGCACAAACGCAACCTTACCAAAAGGTAAACTTTATACAGCAATTTGTGTGTGACTGCACGGAACAGAAACTAATAGCAGAATTGACGTGCAAGTTTTGACATTCATGTGCAGTGATGATGTCTGTAAAACGTTTTACCTCAGTTAACATTTTGTCATGCTTGTCGACTAAAAAGTGGTATTGCCGAAACTAAATTATTCCAACATTGTCATAGGACGTCTTTAAACTGGGGAGTCATCAGAATTAGGACAATGTTCTTTTGTCATCTTCAGACTGTAGTTAAGGATCCTATTCACCAAAATGTATGTGAATGCTTTTAGTTCGCTTGGCGCACAAGTGACATTCTCTTCAGTGTTTTAACTTCATTATGTAAGTTCATGTGACAAGTCTATTGGCATTCTTCTGGGACGTGTGTTTCTCTATTGCGTGTATATATTGTGTTTGAATAACGAGGATTATTTTTCAGTGTCTGTGAAAGGTCTATTGAAGTTACTGGGATACTGAAACAGCATGCATTGTTTGCCTGAAGGAAGATACATCATACAGTATTCAAGAAACAATGTGTTGAAGTCTAAACATAACAAGATGACAATATCACTTACATTTCCCGTAACTTCTGCATGAGTCTAATATAACGCTTGTTACAAAAGCAGACGTGAAATGTTGTAATAATAAAGATATAATAGTCCATTTACATTGCGCATTTATCCATGCACATTGCATGCTGAGAGTGCTGACATGTTACCCCTGGTCAACCAGTACAGATCACCCGGGTCGCCTATCAGGCGCTCAAGGTTCATAATTAGACTACCATCGTATCATACCAGGTACCCAGTGTACTGCTGGGTGGACAGAGGCAATGTTGAAGTAACTGACTTGCCTAACGAGTCAAGCTGCCAAACACGGTCACCCATCCAAGACCTCACCGCGCCAAAAGGTGCTTAACTTCAAACTTCAACAGATTGTGACCTGCACTCTTCGTACAGGAACCCACAGCGCCATAAGAAACACAACTTAGGAATCACACTATTAGATATATTCCCAAAATTTGATAAACATGCTTTTGGTCAAAACACGTTGAGATTTGTGGGCGTTAAGATCCTCTCATGTCTTTTATGACATAACCTGTTTAGTTAAAACATACAAAGTCTCTGTTCCTTTGGAACATCTATCCCTCACCTTCCTACAGAGCGTCCTAGAGTTCTTACAACCCCAATTGTTTGTTAGGAAATATTATTTTAATCAGCTTACATCTGTAAACTGATATGCATGTTCGTAAAGTCAATTCAACGTTGGTCATGCACTTACTGACATATACAAGATATATATATTTCGTCGTACAATACATGTATTACTTTAGGTGGACAACTTATCGCAAGACGAATGTGACAGGCTGCGTCAATATGAGCATGATTTCGAGTTCTCGTCAAATGTACGTTTAAAACTGACATGCCCCGTTAATGGAGGTACTAAAGTAAACACTGGTGTGTACACTCATTACACTGAGCTCATGCAGTGCTTTGGAGCAGTCTTCTGAAGACTGGATATTAGCGCTGTATGTATGTATGTATGTATGTATGTATGTATGTATGTATGTATGTGTATGTATGTATGTATGTATGTATGTATGTATGTATGTATGTATGTATGTATGTATGTATGTATGTATGTATGTATGTATGTATGTATGTATGTATGTATGTATGTATGTATGTATGTATGTGTGTATGTGTGTGTGTGTGTGTGTATGGATGGATGTGCGTGCGTGCGTGCGTGTGTGCATACGTGCCTGCGTGCGTGCTTGCGTGCGTGCATACATGTATGTATGTATGTTCTTTTGCAGCATAACACAGTCAATATAATATTCTCTAATTGACCATCGAAGCTGAACTCGCAATCTATCTACGAATAATGACACTCTAATCGAATATTCAGTGTATATGCTTGCCCCACAAGGTCTTCAATGTCTCTTCTTTATTAACAAATACTACATAATTTTGGTTGTGGAGCACCGACCTTCACACTTGACTCTTCACATGTTTACATTTGGCTGTTTTTCGTACGTCTACATCAATATGCACCAGCATGTTTTCATTTAATTGGTTTACAATTATATGACTCCTAACTATCAGACCAAGCACATTATCCATAGCCTCCAGTCATTTGTCCCCCCGTATCTCTTTGGATGCTGAAAACCAACTATCGTTTACACCTACTTGGGTTGTCAGTGCATATTTGAAGAGGTTATTCTAAGACGATGCCGTATTTCAAAATTTCATTCAACACAAAGAGCACACATGCTGTTGATCTCTATCGCCAAGAGGAGTAACGCACCTTACCAGTCTATCGTCAAACAGGGAACACCCCACCTGACCAACATCTCGTCAAGGTTAATACAATCCGTGACCTATCCGTGAACAAAACTAACGTGAACAACGCCCTGTATCATCAGGTGGGAAGAACGCTCCTGTTCTATCGCTTGTAAATGGGGACAACAACTTTGATGGGTCAGTAAAATGTGTCACATCCAGTGACGTATCAACTCGATAACAGTTTTTTATGCATTATTTGTTTGAAACCTTTCCTTTTTAACGGACCCGTGAAGGTCCGGGATATAATTCATCTTCAGTAACCCATGCTTGTCGTGAGAGGCGACTAACGGGATCGGGTGGTCAGGCTCGCTGACTTGATTGACACATGTCATCGGTTCGATGCGCATATCGATGCTGATGCTGTTGATCACTGGATTGTCTGGTCCAGACTCGATTACTTACGGACCACCTCCATATAGCTGGAATATTGCTGAGTGCGGCGTAAAACAAACTCACTCACTCCTTTTTAACGGCTGTGATTCAAATGCATTGCTAAGCTTAACCGGGAGGTGCAATGTTTCTGCATCAATTTTAAAAATATAACTCAAATATTTTATGGAGGTTATGAATATTTGTTATTAACATTTATTTGAATAAAACAGAACATCTTCTTTTCGTGGAGGAAGTTATGGGTTAAAAGGTCAAATGTGTATGGATGATATAGGTTTTGCATATTAATTAGGAGATAAACATCATGTGTTGGCAAATTTCCGGGTGTTATTGAGTATTTGAAGCACAGGAATATTGCAGCACGGGAAACGCCGTCGGTTTTAAATGAAATATTCCCGTGCTTCAAATACTCAATAACACCCGGAAATTTGCCAACACATGATGTTTATCTCCTAATTAATATGCAAAACCTATATCATCCATACACATATGACCTTTTAACCCATAGATAAACATCATGTGTTGGCAAATTTCCGGGTGTTATTGAGTATTTGAAGCACATTTAAAACCGACGGCGTTTCCCGTGCTTCAATATTCCCGTGCTTCATATACTCAATAACACCCGGAAATTCGCCAACACATGACGTTTATCGACATTGTAAACACAAAAGTAAACATTGACATCGAGTACGGGTACAGCAGTGAAATGTCATCAGTCGGCCGTTTCGGCTGTCTCCCATGATAGCATCTGGAACTGCTCATTTGTGACGTCATGCAGACTTTACGTCACAATATGATCGAAATGACGTCATCACAGCTGACGACGTAACAATACAATGATGTGAGCGATGTTTGTACGTATTAATACGCAGCAAATTTCCGGGAATCGAATACTTTTCGATCATGTTTTTCAACCAATCAGATTTAAGAACACGGTGACTTTTGGTTTAAGATTGTTTTTAGCAACTTGATTAAAACGCGTATATCTTGACAACCTGAAGTCCATTTCAGTGCATGTATCTTGACATCTGACTCCCAAGGCATCCATGGATCCAATTGTGTTAATGACTCTGTTGTTGCTCCAGTTGAACACGTTAAAACCTTGGTGTTATCTTTGACAGAACAATGTCCTCTGACAAGCAGGTACTTTCTGTCGCTAAATCTGCATCCTGGCACCTGAGAAACATCTGGAAGATCAGGAAGTACCTTAATGAAGACACCGCAAAGTTATTGACCCACTGTTATATAACTTCCCGTCTGGACTATTGCAACTCACTGATCCATGGGGCCGCATGCAGCAGTGCAACATCTCCAGAGGATTCAGAATAATGTTGCACGAGTCATCACAAGGAGCAAAAAGATCGCCCACATCACTCCAGTGCTCAGCAGTTTACACTGGCTCCCTATCGAGCAGCGTATACACTACAAGATCCTCACTTTGACGTTCAAAGCATTGTACAATGACACTGCACCATTGTATTCAACGTCCCTACTTCACAAGTATTGTCAGCAGAAACCGACCTCCTCACAATCCTACACACAAACAGCAAAATGGGTGATAAAGCATTCTCTGTGAAAGCTCCCATTTTGTGGAATCACCTGCCACAACAGATCAAGAGTGCAGAGACCTACACATCATTTTGTAGCCTTTTGAAAACGTTTCTCTTCAACGATGCCTACAACTCCAATTCTTAAAGTTGACATACTGATCAGAAACTTTTAAGCGCCACAGAGCAGCAACAGTTGGAAGGAAGGCGCTATACAAATCAATTATTATTATTATTAAATTAAAGGGTGATAACTTTACCTGGCTTCTCAGATCGCAAGTTGTGTATAGGTAGAGTACTAGGTGATTACCTGCATGTTACAAGTAGTTTAAGGGATAATGAGGCTGACCTCTTTATTAGTGTTTAAAATCCACATAAACGTGTGATCAAAGACACCATATGCAGACGGATAAAAATGGGGTGCATGTACTGGCATTAATATGGGCATTTTCAGCCCCCATGGTGTTAGGTCAGCTGCAACTAGTGCATAAGATTCATGTTTTTATTTCTGTTGATTTTCACATTTAGTCAAGTAATTCTGAAGAATGTGTATTATGCTGAACATCATTGTCAAAATTAATTATTGACTATTAATGTTATGACTATGCCACAGAGGCATATCATGTTATGAGTAGGACAACACGACGCTGCTGTAGTTAAGTCCATTATGATCGAAAATGCTTCACCTATGTGGTGAATGTCTAACACCTGCATTGCATCGGGCGTTCCTTCTGTAGCGAGCTATCTCGATGTGTTCTCGCAGAAATACCATATAAAGCTATGTGAACTATGTGAAATATTAGTTTGCTGAAGATATAACAAAATGTTCAAATTACCGTGTCGAAAGGGTCATGTCAATGTTTGGAACTTATGTCAGTATGATGTAATTGCCAGACAGATTCGTATACACCATTTAGGTAACTGATTTGACAGGTACTTAAACTTCCTCGCTGGGTGACTAAAAGCTACACACTATGTCCACAAGCCTAAGAAAATCACTGCTAAGAACACATCGATTCTGACTATTACATGAACATGTGTTTATGAACCACTCTGAAATAGTGTTCTATTTTTGAAAATCTGAAACTATTCGTCGATTTTAAATATAATACATTTTATATGAAAAACATCCCTTCATCATTCGCAGGTACATCTAATAACTGCTATCCTTTAAATAATTGCCAAACTGGAACCTTGCCCGGTTTCTCCACGTAACTTAACCAAGTGCGCCCTGACTCGAGCTGGTTCCTATACAGCTAAAATAAATTTGTTGGAATTTTCAGCACTCTTGAACATTTTGGTCATGAGAATGATCCATGAAAGCGCCAGCCAAATGATAATAGGAATCCATCCCAGAAGAAATTACCTAGCCGTAGCACAAGTGACAAAATTGCCGAATCATTCCCAATTAGCAAGTCCATACCTGCGATAGGGAGCTTTTCTTCGACCACCACCTCACCCAACCGAAGTGGAGATCGATGCTCATGATGTTTATCACTGGATTGTCTGGTCCAGACGCAATTACACCCGTCATATAGTTGAAAATTGCTGCATTAAACAACAAACAAGCAAACAAAATCTCATTATTTACATGTATTTATTAGTGCATGCTGAGATGAGAAATTTCAATATATATATTTGAATACACTGTGATCAATACACTGGTTGTTTTAGCTGAAATTGACAAAGCGAATAAGAGCGACAAAGCAATTTCCATATTTCAGAACAAATCTGTACTAAACTCAAAATCGAGTATATTCAACATGAGCACGGGAAGTTACATGTACGACAAACACGTTAAACAACCGCAATTTAAATGTAGCATTGACATTCAGTATGTATACCCTATCTGACATAAAGTACACATACAGGGCACTGACTTTAGAATTTGCAAGAATTCATGTTTGTTACATTTACTGTCGAGGTATGAGTTGGTTTGTAATGTGGCTGAAGGATAAATATTCTTTCAAGATATAATGTGGTTTGTAATTTTGCTGAGGACTGATAAGCTACTCCTTCTAAATACTCTACACAGCATTTATTCTTTATGATACTATGACAATTTGTATTTCACATACGGTACTTGCAATACGGACAAATGAGATGTAACGTCAATAGACATCAAGTGTCACAATCACGCCTGAGCATCATTATTTATTATTCAATGTAGTTAGGTCTTGGATATATATTTTGTTCTAACTGGTATATCATCGTTGCTGAACTGCACTGATCAATGTTCCAATTTCACAACACAAGCCCTACTTATTATGTTTTATAAGAAATTACGTTTCAGCATAAACTATCCGAGAATCTACGTATACCTTGTAACGCATATATGTACTTAAGATTCAGCTTTAACTTGATTAGTTCAACCGACAGCTTCTTCCAGAACTCTTAAAACGTTCTTAATGCAATGCATAGTATACGTACAATGCATACAACAGTGCACATGTCATTCAAAAGGAGACAGATTATTTGGAACAACCAGTTGTCTGTCTGTCTGTCAGCCTGTCTGCCGGCCTGCCTGCCTATCCGCACTCTCCACTTCTGCCATTACTGATGTGTGGTCAATGTCTATTTAGAAAATCGTTCTTTAATACTACAATCACTGACAGTCAAATGTGGAAAAGCAAGGAATTACTGAAACATGACAGTTTCCGCTGATTACTGATCCACGAAGGTATGTGCGAAAGTTTTCCAACACTTAGGAAAACCCTGGACGACACAGCTTACAGACGAATATGTGTCTATGTTTCTGGCACAAAAAGAGAAACAATTCATCACAGCAATCGACTGAATCATGAGACAGTTACAAGTTGTGTAACATTTCTCTCTCCTTTCTTCTTATCATAAGAGTACTGCAGGTGCCTCTTCCCATAGCTCAGCATCTTGGAGATACTTTCAGCTTGATGTCCTTTTCTGTTTGGAGAACGCTAGTCTGCTTAAACGTCAATACTTCCTGTAAACAAAAGATTCATGTTTATATTTCTGTTGATCTTCACATTTAGTCGCGTAATATTATGAAGAACATGTATCATGCTGAACATCATTGTCAGAATTAATTATTGACTATTTTACGTTAAGACTGCGCCACAGAGGCGTATCATGTTATGAGTAGGACAACACGACGCTGGGGTAGGTAGGTCCATTATGATCATCAGACAAGGTGCGTACATCGTGATGAACAGACTAGATACGTGCATCGTAATGGACAGACTAGGTATGTACATCGTGATGAACAGATTAGGTGCTTCCATCATGATGAACAGACTAGGTACCTGCATCGTGATGGCCAGACTAGGTATGTGTATCGTGATGAACAGACTAGGTACTTCCATCATGATGAACAGACTAGGTACGTGCATCGTGATGAACAGACTAGGTACGTGCATCACGACGAACAGACAAGGTGCGTGCATCGTGATGAAAAGACTAGGTACGTGCATCGTGATGAACAGATATACGTGCATCGTGATGAACAGAAGGTACGTGCATCCCTAGGTACTGCATCGTGATGGACAGACTAGGTACGTGCATCGTGATGAACAGACTAAAGTACTGTCGGAAATAGAAAAAAACTGTTTTTAGGCTCTTACTCTGTATCCCTAAAATTTACACAACTGCAAATAGCATATGTCGAAATAACCCACTTCGGCCTAACTTGGCATTCAGTGGGATGCGTAATACGATATCCAGAAAAGCATGTTTACTCGTAAAATCGGGCACAACTTAGAAAAAATACGAATAGCTGCTGAAAACAATAGATCAGACTATAGATGGCAATTAGGTCGCTCAGCCAGGTATGACGACGGACCGTCGACTCACGTGGCATGAAATGCATGTGCTGCCTACAGGCGCCCAAGGGGTCATCTCAAAGATATTTTGTGCTTTTTCATGTGTGTTGACTATGCCTCATCTATTGATTAACAGCTTAAGTGTCTTTCTTTCATAAAGTTTATGTTGAGATATGTAAAAGAGTTTGATACCAGATAACCATAGAAACGCATCGTATTAAATGTCTCAAAATATATAGGTGGCATGACCACCCGATCGCGAAGATCGACAGGACTGGATATTATTTGTAAATTGTTATGATATGCCGTGTACTTCCCCAGTATAATTGCCCTAAAGGATTATCGTATCTTAGCTGATATCTCTATCCCCAAGCCCGACCCCAACGATCGTCTGCGACACCCGTCCAGGTTTTGCTTTTGAGACGAACCCTCCTATCTGTTTCTTTTTGTAGTGACAGTGAGACTCCATGGTAGCTACATCCTTAATAGTTTCAGCATGAAAGTTATTATTTTTTTACGCCAGCTATCGTTTATAATGAAGCTACGTCTAATTTCAAATTGGTCACTTAAAAAGTGTCCTTTATAATACAATATCGTCGCACACTAATTTGCATACAGCCATGGTCTGTTCCAAATAATTCGTTTTGGACTTAGAAAAAAATCGCATTGCTCATTTCTGCACTAATCTCTCCTCAGTAAAGTCCTTTTTCTACGTTTCTTGTGTCCCTACCATTGAGACTGTAGTTAGGCCGAACTTAGTTTAAGAGATATTTCACACTTGCACATATCAACTACATGAATTGTAGAGATAAATGAGAAAATACAGTTTTTTTCTATTTCCGACAGTACTATAGATATGTGCATCGTAATGAACAGACTACATTCGTATAGCATGATGAACAGACTAGGTATGTACGTCATGATGAACAGACTAGGTACGTACGTCATGATAAACAGACGAGGTATGTATACTGTGATGAACGGTAACCTCTCCAAACCCCTACAGCCTATAACCCCTACAGCTTTTATCAACAAGTTCATGGTCCAGTGCACTGCTAATCTTGTAGTTGCTTATTTCATACACTGGACCTTCCCAAACACTTAGAACTTAGGAGAATTATTTCAATAAGTAATAACAAACCTAAGACTTTGAAAGAATGGTTTTAATGTGCGAGGGTCGATCAAAAAGTACGTAGCCTAACTATATTCTCGATGTCCAATGTTTGAAAAGCTTCCATTTTGTTTTGAAGGAATCGTTAGCAAAAAAAATTCACATGTGTGGGTAATGTGGTCAACCAGTTATTTGTCATCAGAACACATTGGGGTATAATATTTTTAACAAAATTGCAGAAAATGAAAAACGATTTGTCTTTTGATACCTCTTGGATAATGGTATGCCCTCAGATAATGTCATATAAAATATGTTCAGTATAGTATTGGATGACCCGTCATGATCAACAGTCAAAGATTTGGATTGCCTGTTTTATATTTAGTCGGGGGCTATTTTTTAAGGACAACCCCATTTTAAGCTTTCAAAAACATTGTGTCCAGATATTCAAGCTGGCACTGTTTACAATATATTGTGAGCTGACACTTGTGTGACCATTCAGTATTTAGTTTGAACCCTTGGCATCATGTATGCATAAGTGAAAACATTAAAATGAGCTATGCCCTTATGATTACGTCATCTGAAAGGGGGGTCGGTAGTGTCTCCAAACCAAGCTCTTTCAGTCAACATGAAGGGGGGGGAGTCACTTTAACAAGCGATTGTAATTTCAAATTGCTTATTTATGAACTTTAACAGCTAAGTGTGATTCTAGGGGACTTCTATCAATCTCAAACACACAAAATATTTCGTGCATATTTTGTTCCCTGAAGTTTTTTATGCATTTATTGTAGCTTTTGCGTTTTTTGAGGGTACCAAAATAAAAGGTCAAACAAAATGGGGATCGTGAGACTGGAACAAAGCAAAACCAAATTGCTTGAGCTTGATGAACAGACACGGTACGTTCATCATGACGTAATAAGTGGCACGTATATTGCATTTATCGGTATTTAATTCGTCAGATATCTGTGATTTCTTGTCGACAACGTTTCAAATGCTGTTTAGTTTCGAATTTCGGCCACCCGTGATGGTCCGGGTTAGAATATTGATCTTCAGTAACCCATGCTTGTCGTAAAAGGCGACGAACGGGATTGGGTGGTCAGGCTCGCTGACTTGGTTGACACATGTCATCGGTTCCCAGTTGCGCAGATCGATGCTCATGCTGTTGATCACTGGATCGTCTGGTCCAGACTCGATTATTTACAGACCGCCGCCATATAGCTGGAATATTGCTGAGTGCGGCGTAAAACTCAACTCACTCACTCACTAACTCACTCGAATGTGGGCCAACATTCGCATGTCCGATGTAGTGAGAGAGCGTAACCTCCCTTGAGCCACTGATAAAGCGGTTTCGCCCTACATTGTTACTTGCCATTAACTGTAATAGCTCTAAACTCGGAAAACGGGTATAACGTTTATCAATGAACTGTTTTGAGGATACAACGGATATATTAGTCAGAAATGCTATTTTGTAAATCACAAAACTGGCAAATTGTGTGTTCTCGACAGATCGCCAGAAATCGTCCCATCCTTTTAGTTACATCTGAATCTCGCCAGTTCAATGTGATAGGGTTTTACTTTAGAGTTACTTTAGGTAAGCAGTGCTTTCCATGAAAATATTCTTAAAGAGGGAATATTTTGAGCATTAAATTCGATGTATAAGGTTTCAAATTAAGGAATCATTTGAATGTACATTTATGTAATTGTCTACACCATTAAAACATTTCTAACTGTTAGAAAACGGTTACTTTTAAAAGTAAGAAACTCTAGAGATCAGATGTGATAATCACTGCTTGCCTTCGGAGTTTGGATTCCCATGCTGTCAATGATGCAGATGACAATCGTTGAGATGTCGAATGATGATGATGATGATGATGATGATGATGATGATGATGATGATGATGATGATGAATATGATGAAATACTTATACCTGAGTGTCCGGCATACGTTCAAACTTCACAGCTCTCAGAACATTAACCAGGGCTATTTTAGCCTCAATCAGAGCCAGACGCATCCCAATACAAATTCTTGGACCGTATCCGAACGCCAAGAAGGACAGTGGGTTTGATTTTTCATCATGTCTGAAAAATATCACAGTAAATAAAATATTGATAAGTGCGTTGATAAATATCTCCAGTCATGTATTACACACAATCTGTCTGGGGATGAAAAGGCATAATCTTAATTTTCTTTATGTTAACGGTATCCCTTTTGTTGACGCAATCAGATAAATGAAGTTTGGTATTCAGTGTTTCAGCCTCAGTCAGAACTGAAACAAACCACATTAAGCTAAGAAAGAGGATATGTTGAAGCACGCTGAGATAAGAAAGGGGTCTTTTAAAGATCTGACAGCAACTGATCACAGCGTCGATGTGTGTACATGCGAATGTATGCTGGTGAAACAATGCATGTAGGTGGGCTTCAGCCGGGTCTATACGTGGAGTCACTACAGCGGTACCATTTAGATACGTTTGACGGGTGACATTACCTTTCAGGTTTGAAGGAATGTGGATCCTTGAAGAGCTTAGGGTCTCTCTGTAGTGCAAATGTAGGCACGAAGACAGTTTGACCCTCATAGATTGTCAGGTCCTTGATCTGAATATTCTCAGAAGCTCTGCGACTTAATCTGAAATAAACAATCAATTCTGAATATTTTTAATATGAACATCACGCGGTATATAGTTTTTCCATTGGACGAATATGACCATGACGTATAAGTGTATGATAGACTGGGACACCCCTTGCAAAACAATATCACATCTCGTGTCTACTGCACACTGTAACTATTGATATATCTGCTGATCAGACTTTACTTATAAAAAGGTGTATGTAATGTATGTCTTAATGAGAAACGAATTGGACTTCTATACAATTACCAACCCTATTTCACAAAAGACTTCCTAAACACTGTTGAAATTCTAAATATTGTCTTTATGTGAACTTCACACCTTCATATACCTTTTTTTCCATTGGATGAATACATTGGACAGTGACACATAAGTGTATGATAGACTTAGACACCCCCTTGCAAAACAATACCCCATCTCTACTACACACCGTAAATAACAGGAAAAGCACTTTATTGTCATGCAGGTGAATGCACGCTAAACAAAGTAAAACGGCAGATGTCGAGGCTTTGATTATGATGATTTTATTCATACGCGCAGGTTGTGGAACTTGAACAATTGTTTGTTGCCTTTTAGATATAACAATAAACATTTCTTGTATGTAAATAGGCATACTTTACTTTGCCATCTAACATACTTTACTTTGCCATCTAACATACTTTACTTTGCCATCTAACATACTTTGAGACGCCTATATTCAATATATCTCCCTCAAGTCAATTCTTTGTGTCCTGTGTTCATATCCAACACAAATGGCACCTGCCACGACTGGGCTTCAATTTGTATTGTTTGTTTTTTTAACTTACGTAATAACAGGTGGGTAGAGTCTGAGCGTTTCAGTGATGATGTTGTCCAGATACTTCAGTTTCCCAATGTTGTCGTAGTTTGGTTCCTCCTAGGATAGAGGAAAAAGACTATGTCTGCTACTGACTGTTACCTTATGTGAGAGATTCATCGAGAGCTTCAAGCAGAATTTCTTTTAACATTTTTTCTTCTGTTTCTGTATTCCTATCATCGTGTTGTTTCCGCAATGTTTCATGAGATAAAACGACCATAAACTCAACACTGCGATCTTGACTTACGAGAAGTACACGAACATTCTCTAATTCGCAAATCCCTGAGACGATCCTTGCTCTGACTATATCAGGGGAAATCGTCACTTCGGCAAAACTTCTTGTGACATTGTTTCTTCAGTTTCTGAACAAGTATTCCTACCATCGTGTTGTTTCACGAGATAAAACGACCATAAACCCTACATTGCAATCTTGGCTTACGAGAAGTACACGAACATTTCATCAATCTCAAATCCCTGAGACGATCCTAGCTATGACTAGATGAGGAGAAATCGTCACTTCGATATAATATTTACAATTGTCTTTTCACTTGACAATAACAATAATGTTTCCGAATGAATCCCTCTAATGCGGGTGTGCTCGTTATATCATAAGGTTAAGTGTGAACTTATCAAAGCACCCAAACGTTCATACTGACATTCCCAAGCATCTCTTTGATTTCATTATATGCCTTCTCCTGTGCATCCGGATTCATGGCGAGACTGTGTGATGCAAAGTTCAGCGTGGAAGCCGTTGTTTCGTATCCAGCAACGAAGAACAATATCCCTTGGCCAACTATTTCATCCGTTGTTAAACCTGTAAAAGTAATCGTACAGTGGAATATGCACACAGAGCTTTCCATCAGACAATGAACGCCTCGCTCAGCTACAGTACAGATATAATGCAGTAAACAATCGAGTGTGGATCACGTTGTCGATGCATGGTGATATGCAATACACGAAGGCACTGCCCGCCACATGAGTGACATACTGTTCAAAGCCATGTTCACACCCAGCAGACTCAGAGGTGTTTCTGTACTCACGTCTGACTGTTTGTTTCTCTGAGACCTGCCCATTGGCTGCATGACCGTTTTCTTGTTTAACTGTATCATCCGTTATCTCAGCGTCCACCAAGAGTTGCAGGAAGTCGATTCTCTGCTGTAAATACCATATGCTTTCCTGTTGGACTCTTATAAAAGAATGTATTTAATGTCTAATATAGGTTGAATTAATGGATAATGATAAACCTATGCGGTAACCATGACGAGACGAGCAGACTGTGGAACAGAAAATCAATTCCATTAACCTATTTTCACACCTGTGTATCAAGACACATTATGATAAATAGACCACAACAAAGAGCCAGCGTTCCACAGTTATATCTAACCTCTCGGTTTTCCTTTGAGTCGTTCTGTCGTTGTTTGATCATTTCCACGATGTTTGCTTGAAAAAAACTCATGACGCTGTTCGGAAAAAATCCAACTCCAACTTTCCGGATAACCCACACCAATGGTGGACAGAAGCCTGCAAAAGAGGAAAACGAGTGAATTATGTTTCAACGATTGGGGGATGGAAAATAATTATGACGACGTGACATCTTAGTGTGGGAGGAGACCGCGAGGAGATCCGGGCTTTCAGCAACCCATGCTTGTTGCAAAAGGCGACTGACGGGATCGGATGGTTTCTTTTAAATGTTTGCCATCGTTTCCCAACTGTGTAGATCGTTGTTCATGATGTCAGTCACTGGATTGTTTGGTCCAGACACGAATATTTACAGACCGCCGTCATATAGGAGAAATATTTTTCAGTGCGACGTAAAATACAACAATTTGTTGGGCGTTTTTCAAGTCTCAGATAAACTACTAGCTTAGGTTTGAACACATGATAATAATTCCTTTTGTATTGGTTGATCTTTGACACGATCATTTGGTATTACATTGGGTGACCCCTGTAATGTCTCTCTCCTTGTATGGGGTCGTTTTTATGAAACTATAGAAATATAAAATGCCATGAAGATTTCTTCAGGTCAAATCATTTAGTGTACTGTTACATTATTCTCTTTTTATCGGATGAACCACTTGCGTAAATTGTGGCAATCTTTGATATGCTCCTTGATTAAACATAACACCCTATCCAGACAAGGCTGTTGAATGAAGTGAAATGTCTGTAAGAAGTATGAAACGTACGTGCTATCATTGGTAGTAGTCGTCTTGGCTTTGATTGTGTAAACATCACCTTAGCATTAGCGACAAATTCATTGTTGAAATCGTTCTGAGAATCGACTTTTATACCAAAGGCAGTCCGTGCAATCACGTCCATGGTGTAAGCTCCAAAGTAACTGAAAAGTATTGCAACAGATATATATGTTTGGATGAGATAAATACAAGATCGGACAGGAACAAGTTTACATCAGAAAGTGCCACGCTCTGCAAAATGTGCTTATAAATTAACAACAGGGATGAAATGGCGTACATAGTTTTAAGATGAAAATTAATGTTTTAGTCGTTTGCCAGGGCGTTAACGTTCAGATAATGCAATCTCGCCCCATTAACGCACGTCCGAGAAGGCGAAGAATACCGAATACAAAAGCTTGCAATATTAATAGCATCTGTGCTTGAAAACCTAATACTCGAGTTAAAGAATATCCATTTCTTTGCATTTGATGTCAACACAATACTCACTCTTTCATGATCACACCTCCCTTTTTCCCAATGGCTTTAGAGAAATTAGTTGTGAGAGTCCTTGAGCAATCGTTGATGGCAGCGCACATCTAGAATCCCAAAACATAACCCATAGCATGTATTGAAATGGTATATATAATACACCTATGGACGAAAGGACAGGTTCGCGTCAGATCCGTGACAGCATAGTGTGACATGTTTGTTTCTGATACGGATTTTCTACGTGGGGTATTTACCCTACATAAAAAACTACAGTGTCTCACCTTCCTCAGTTTGCCGCTGCTGAAGCTCGGTGTTATGATGCTTCTCACCCTCCGCCAGTGCTCATCGTCCAAGAAGAACACGCCCAAATTGAATGGATAGGGCACGAGTGTGAATTTCTGGAAACATATTGAACAGCAACTTTAACACAAGATATGCATGTCACATTCAGTTGTAATAATCCCACCATGACAGTGAATATCACGTTTAACAGATCTCTATTTAATAATTGGAGATATATTTTTCCCAGATAGTCCGTTACAATAATAGCGTAATTGCCTCTGCGACAATGTCATAGGTAAGATACTTGAAAGAATTGTTTACCATCCTGTTTCTGAAAGTGTTGAAGCTCTTGACAAACACCTCCTTCAGAATGTCCAGATCCGATATAACATAGGCTGGCGTTCTTCCCATAAATATGCTAAGGTGAAGAAACAACATGGTATGAGAAAACGTAATATTACATTTGCTTTTTTAAAATATAATGGATAAAGGTTTGCCATTCCAAAAATGTCAACTAGTTGTGACAGTAACAACTTGACTAATTAAATGCGTAGTGTGTTATACAGCAGTTATTTCATGCCGCGTCGCAACTTATTACATACAGACCAGGTGAATCAACGACCAGAAACGACACCCGAGCAAGATGTCACACAATCTGTTATGTGACTAAGCCAGACCATCCGATCTATTTTAGTCGACTAGCTTACTCCATGGGGACTAATTCCATCCCAGAATCCCAACTGGTCGTGATGATGGAAAGGTTTGTGTCTACCTTCAGAAACAAGTAACTGATAACAGAAGTAGATGAGGCCAAGACATAAAACTTCAGATACATTATCTTTAAAATATAACATTGCTAACATTTTGGAAAACTATTAGTAGATTTAGTGTGTCAGTAAAAATGTTTCGTCGCATTGGCATTATTTCAGCCATATAGCGACAAGTCCAAGTCTGCACACATATATAAGTAAATTTTAGTACAGATTTTAAAGGAGAATACGTACATATCTACAGTAATACTTACTAGTGTTGGGAATTGATTAAAATCTCATAATTGATGACTGGTTCATTACAACCGATCAATCATCGAAAATAATTGGTTAGCGTCATTTATCAAATTGTCCTGGCTATGTTTGTTAATGCACAAAAAAAACAACCATGCAGCTCTTTTGGTGTTTTTTTGCAATGTTCATGTCTTTAAAGGATGACTAGTATGTTAGGAACATAACTTTCTTGGAGTCTTCAAGATAAATTTAATCACGACTTGGAACCAGCTTGTAGTGCTTATGAAACGTAACATTCAAAACCAATCTTGTGATAAATATTGTTAATGCAAACAAGTGTTCCAAAATTGCTTGTGTTCGATTATGACAAAACAAGATCGATTGCTTGGTCGTTTAGTCATTGCGACCAATCTTCGATTATTTCAATTAATTGGACCACAACTAATACTTACACATTTAGAATGTCACCATACGAAATTTAAACACAGGCAACAGAGTATGTAAACAACATATGTCACCTGTGTATTACCTGATCTCTGAGAACCCTCAATATGATTTTGAGTGAAGAAAGGTTCTGTTTTGTTGGTTTGAGTCACATATCCCAGTTATCACCTACATTATTAACGTCTGAGGTCTCCCATACGTCGGGGTCACTCATTCTATAAACAACTGGGATGCATACTAGTAACCAAACCAGTAGCTTCGCGCATTGTTCCTGATTGCAATGCATGCAATGTCGAGAACAGGATGTTGGTTCTGCTGTCCAGATTACCCGGAAGACAAATCAATAAGTGTATGAGATGCACCTACCCATATACATTTCCGTACTTTCGGTTCCATTCTTTGAATTTGTGGAAGAAAGACTGTAAATAGATAACATAGGTTTCTGCATTCTACGTCCTTTCTGAAAACTGGTGCCATGGACTGCAGCTCGTCTGGATATATGACCAGCAGTTTAGATGTCAATAAAATGAGACAATGATACAACAACGAGGATTGTGGAATAAATATGAGAACTAACTATATTAACTGCTACCCATAGTGTCAATTGGTCTGCGAGTAAACATGTTTTATCAACATCAATTTCGAGAACTTCTATATCTATACAATGCACATACAAAGCATAGCTTTCTGAAGCTGAACATGATATTCATATACACTAGAGCAGACGAGACCTGCAAGTATGATTTCCCAAATGTGAAACGTTCTGCGTTGCTTCTTTTTATATTATACACAAACATGTCGCCATGTCCTGTAAAAAGCGACCTAACATCTGGTCATTCAATTTAAAGATATGTTTTATATATATACATATATATACAATTTCATCACCAATGTTACACAAATAATTAACTCAACCCACAAGAGACACGGTGTTTCCTAAAAGAGGGAACGGTGTTGGTCCAGAGATGCCCTGTTTTTTGAAGTAATTGAAGTTCCAGGTTCCATGTCTGAAAAATATGCATCATTATATTGTCTTGCACAAGTCCCATCTTACGATTATATCCACAATTCAAGTCACATTCACACTTTAGACAAGTTGTTCAAATGAAAGCGTATTTCTATGGAAGCGTATTTCTACGACGTTCTAAAGAATCAGTTTGGATGATAATTTCTTCTTCGCAGATGATCCCTGTATCTACGGAGGGTAAACACTAGCGAGCCTCTATTCCCGCCCCTCATGTTATTTCTAGCTTTTTATGGTCTGTTTCAAAGCCTACATCCAGTGGCGTGATACAACTCCAGTGCTATTCAAGGCGATAGAAGGCGATCCCAGCACATGTAACGTACATACATACATACATACAGACAGACAGACAGACAGACATACAGACACACGCATACATACATACATATATAAAGACCATACATGCATACATACATACATACATACATACATACATACATACATACATACATACATACATACATACATACATACATACATACATACATACATACATACATACATACATACATACAGCGCTAATATCCAGTCTTCAGAAGACTGCTCCAAAGCGCTGCATGAGGTCAGTGTAATGAGTGTACACACCAGTGTTTACTTCTGTACCTCCATTAACGGGGCATGTCAGTTCTAAACGTACATTTGACGAGAACTCGGATCGTGCATAGCGACTCATCCTGACGACGCCTTGCCTACGCAGTCTCTATTGATTACCACACATGCAGCCTGTCACATTCGTCTTGAGATAAGTGGTCCACCTAAAGTAATACATGTATTGTCTACTCACATATAGATCAGCACAGCCACCGCCAGGGTTAGAAGGACATACAACGGGACGTCCACGAGGCCCAAGATCTCCATGTTGAAGGGGGTCGTCGCTATTTCGCAAAGCTGCCAAAACACACAACACTCTCAAGTCACCCGCGACTGTTCCGTGTGCAGTGCCGCTGGCTGTGACTATACGTGTTGCTAATAGCTCAGGCACAGGGGCCGTACAAAGTCTGAAACCACTTCGTTTTCTAGGTCATTTTGTGACTCGGCATAAAGCGACATAAGCATGCGCGGATCCGTGGGTCGCAATCAATTGCGCTAACACCGCTAGACCTATGTTAGTTATCTTATTTAAAAATGGACATATCTTACAAACACTGAATAATATCCCAAAGGAGCACTGAGGTACGTACGTACCCTATATTTCTAGACTTGCGTTGGACTCCTTTTGTTAAGTATTCTCTTGGGTGATATATATACTGTGATATATATTTGAATCACATAAAAACAATTTCAAGAGAATATATCCAGCTTATATCTGATTTTTCACATATTATGTTTGGCGACAGTTTGTTTATCGCCATACGACTGCTGTGTAATTAGTATTGTTTATACGATCCAGTATCATTCATTACTAATATCTACGTCGGAATTATATTGAACACATATTTCTGCGAAAGCACTCTAGGAACAGGTTGCAAGATATTTTGTTTTGACTACAAGAGAGCTACATTTGATTTTGTTGGAAAACAGGTCGTATGACCTCCACACCTGTAAACTATATCACATCCATGGTCCTGGATGTTACAGGTCGGAAGGGGTTTTAGACGCTGAGGGATTTCATTAAACTGAGGTATGTTTTTTAAGCGAGAGAACTTGGGAGCGCACATGTACCTGTCAGATTATGTTCTCTATTCACCCATAGACGACCCCACATAAAAGAGACGGTGTTACAGTAGTGTCTAACAGCAACAGGCTAGCCGACAATGGGTGCAGCCAACAGGAAAGTGGGCAATGTTGTACTGATTTTTCTTGGACACAAAGGTCAATAACTGTGTACAGTTTACCCACGATTCAAGAGCAAAGGTGTATAAGCTAGACGAAGGAATGTGATGTAAGCACGGCTCTGAAGAGTTATCAGTGCATTATCTGTACTTGAGCATACCAGTATCACACCGTGCATATATCGGTTATGTCGTGTCATTTCAATACGATCTCATGCAACCCTTATTTATTACACTGGCTATTCTTATTAAACAATGAATGACAGAGGAGTTTGCAGGTTTACCAAAAGTAAAGTATACATAGATCTGTCACTATAGCTACGACATTTAAGTTAGATTGTATTTCTCAGCCTGTGAAAAGTAATATAGAGATAAAATTTCAGCTTCTGAGAGTACATGTTCATGCTAATCCAAGTTGGTAATTTAGATCAGTGTACTTTATGGATTCGTTTCTAGAATAGTTTTTGACACATCAGCTGTCTTTCCTTTAATAATCCTGTGATATGATTGACACATTTTTGAGTCATGGCAAGGGGCAAACACGCCTATAGATATTGGGGTTATGTTATGGACCCTATTATATAATGTAATGACGACACACTTACGTTATGAACAATTGCCTTTGTATGTTTCCATAAAAATACAAATACTCCCAGCCACGACATCCGCCACCCAAAGAATAATAAATACACTCAAAACGCTTAAGAAAGAAAGAGAATGTTGATTTTGTTCATTCATAAACCATTTAATGAAAAAACAATGTATTTGATTGGACGATGTTGGTCACACGATCGTTAATTTGTGTGTGCACAAACACAACTTTTTCAAAGCGTAACGTTTTACAGGAATGTGTGTGTGACTGCATGGAACAGAAAAACTAACAGCAGAATTGACGTGCACGTTCTGACATTCATGTGCAGTGATAATGTCTGTAAAAGATCCAACGTCAGTCAACATTTTGTCATGTTTGTTGACTGATCGGAAGTTGTAATGCCGAAACTAAATGCTTCCAACATTGCCATAGGACGTCTTTAAACTAGGGAGTCCCAGTCTGTAGCTGCACAAATGTTGTGTCAATCCATTCTCAGATTTAATATAAATGTTTATGATTAAACACGTTGAGATGTGTGAACGTTTAGATCCTTGCATGTCTTTTATGACGTAACGTGTATAGTTTAAACATACAAAGCCCCGGTTCCTTTGGGACATATATCCCAAGAGTATCCCTTACACCTTTCACCTTTCTACAGAGCGTCTTAGAATTCTTACAACCCCAATTTCTTGTTTGGAAATATATCTTAATCAGCTTACATCTGTTAATTGTTATGAACGTCTATTCAACTTTCGCAATGCACTTATTGTAGAATGCAAGATATATATATATATATTTCACCGTGTGGCTAAATACACTGTTACTCTCAGTGCACAAGTGATCGTAACTCCCAATCTTTAACATCATTAAAGGACTAATATCACTTTTTGGAACGGGGCTCTGGCTACTTACGGGGCTATACTTGTGTATTATATTCACTGATTACAAGCCAAACACTTGGTAGCCTTCTCTGTGATAGCCAGTCTTGACCTTGTTTTAGTAGAAAACTAACCCACTATGATTCTTTGTCAAGTGTATAAACGTATTAATTTTTTATGGACTCGACAATTTAGAACTGCGGGAGATTCAATCATGTAGTATGTATTATGATGTGCTTGAGTCGAAGGTGATATGAATTTGAATACACAATCCTTTATATTAGGCAGTCGATATACATATATACATGGTTTTGTTCTAAGAATTCAATTTCATCTGCCACTTTTACAGCATTAAAAAATCTATATAATATTCTCTAACCAACTAATTGACCATCGAAGCTGACCTCGCAATCTATCAACGAAAACTGACACCCGAATTTGTTAAAAGAACTCTAATCGAATATCCAGTGCATATACTGACCCCACAAGGTCTTCAAGGTCTCTTCTTTACTGAAAAATACCAATATATACTGAAAGGCAAAAGAAACGTCGTGATATTAGAAATGACATTTGAGTATCAATGGAGTATTTGAACCTATTTTTTTAAATATACACCAGAAGTCAAGTTTGAGGAAATATGAATCGTGGTCGTATAGCCTGCATTGCCCAATAAAATATTGTTTGAGATTGAAGTTAGAATGTTTTTGTTTTTTGGAGAGGGAAAAGTTCCCACAAACACAACATTGAAATCGAGATGCACGTGCATCATAAATGCATTCAGGCATAAATTGCCGGCTTGAATGGCAATCGTTCACTTGTTTTCTGAACACAGCAGCTATGACTAGGTTAACGAGAGATCAACCACAACAAGCTATTGGACGTCTGCACGCTGGTCAACATGCTCAAGGCATTGCTAATGACTTCAGTTGCAGCGTACGAACGATAGAACGTCTTAGAGTGCGATACAACGCCACCAGCAGCACTGATGACCGTCCACGTAGTGGTCAACCCCGTGTAACAACACGTCGCCAGGACCGTCCAATCGTCCATCAACACGTGCAAGACCTATTCGCAAGGGCCAGAGAAACAGCTTGGGTGACCATAGGAAACCACCAGCGACCAGTCAGTGACCTACCATTCGGCGACGTCTCCAAGCCAGGAACCTGTTTTGTCGATGTCCTGCCAGGAGACCCATATTCACCCAACGTCACCGCCGGGAACGTATCCAAGTGGACACAACAGCGGCAAAACTGACAATGGGGAGGGGTTATCTTCTCTGATGAAAGTCGGTACTGCATTTCAGTGGCGTATTATTTAAAAAAAATAGGTTCAAATGTTCCATTGATACCTTAATGTCATTTCCAATATTACGACATTTATTTTGCCTTTCAGTATATTAACAAAGCTGTGGTTGTGGGTGAGTGAGTGAGTTGAGTTTAGTTTTACGCCGCACTCAGCAATGTTCCAGCTATATGGCGGCGGTCTGTAAAAGTCGAGTCTGGACCAGAAAATCCAGTGATCAACAGCATGAGCATCAATCTGCGCAATTGGGAACCGAAGGCATGTGTCAACCAAGTCAGCGAGCCTGCCTGTGGTTGTGGAGCAGAGGTCTTCATACTTGGCTCTTTACATACGTCCACAACAATGAACAATAGTATGTTAACATATAATTGGTTAATGCTTATATGACTCTTAATTCGGCAAATACGATAATTCAGGGCACAGCTAACCTGTATCTCTTTGGATGATGATGTATTTGCTCTACGCTAAAACACATTAAGTGTAAAGTGTTGGGTTACATAACTTCTGTACTCTATGTCATCTCCTAATTTGTGTGAAATATATTCTAAAATCTCATTCCACACAAAGAACATATGCTGTTGATCTCTCTTTCGCCAAGAGGTGCAAAAACACACGCACACACACACGCACACGCACACACACACACACACACACACACACACACATACATACACACCGTCTATCGTCAAAGGGGGATAAACGCTCTCATACATCAAAGAGGTGAAAAACAGCCCTGACCAACCTAGCATCACCGTTAATACCATCCTTGACCTATCCGTGAACAAAGCGAACGTGAATAACGCCCCTCGTCTCTGTATCATCAGGTGTGAAGTACGCTCCTGTTCTATCGCTTGTAAAGGGGGACAACAACCTAGATGGGTCCGTCACCAAGCTGGCGGGCCTACTCTCATCAATGCTCTCGTCGGCACGTGGAGACGATGGCTCTTATCTGTATCATGTAGAGGGGAAATAGTGTTTCTAATACAGGAACAAGGCTTTCAGTATGACAGTTGCCAACACTTCCAATATGTCTGGACTGCTTACCCGTTACTGAAACTACTTAAAAAAAATGTCATTGCAACAGAAAACCTAGCTAACCACCTTCAGAAACAACCTCCGTTTGGTGTAACGGGACAATTAGCTGTGAAAATCATGTGAATGTATCACTGAAAACTCGTGCCCCTCTGCGTCAGTTATCAAGAGGAACTAGCCGTACCGGGATTTGGAACAAGTAACATTTTTTGCGTTGACAGTTAAAATGCGTCCTATCCAGAGGCGTATGTACTCGACAACATTTCTCTTTATGCATTATTTGTGTGAAACTTTTCCTTTTTAACGGCTGTAATTCAAATTCATTGCTAAGGTCAACCCGGAGGCGCATTGTTTGTAGTTTGTATGATTTATTAATCAATCTAAACAAAAAATGGATATCAATGCATACAGAATGTGTGTAATGAGAAGAAATTATACATATATTTCAGGAAATAATTAATGTGTTTTATTGAGCTTATAGATATTATTCA